ATAAGTCCAATTAATCCCTTTGAGCTGAAACCTCAGGCATCAGATTGCTCTAAATATTTGGTTTCAGCTACTTGTGGCTCTGTATCATATCAGTGAGAGCTGATATCCTTACTAGGGTCATTTGTAACCACAGCTCTGAGTGTAAGCACATCACTTTCCTACCTCTGTTTGTGAGGGGCAGCTGATCAAATGAAAGGGTGACTTGAAGGGAGGGTGGCGAAGAGGAATTAAAACAGCTTCACCAAGGCTCAAAATAAATAAGCATATTTTTTTTACATGTGTAAATGTTGCTAGCAGAGTTCAATCATACAACTGTGGAAATGAACACAGCGGTTATCCTTTATTAATAAAAGGCGATGCTAGCGATGCCGCTTGCAACATCACATGAATATCTCGCACCACTTCTTTTCAGGAAATATGACAAATTGGCTAAACTTTCTCTTTGGCTTAGAAGTACATTTGAAAAGAATATGTTTAAAGTTGTGTGATCCAAGAGAGTAAGAACTCTGTAAAACTTGCAATCAAATAAGGACAAAACAAGATTTGTGAAATTTTAACAAGACAGCAGCAGTAGGGCTGAATTGTAAAGCAAGCTTGTCATTAGCGGCTTATATGGATTCATATCCAATGCATTTGTGGTTTGACCTAATTACGTGCACACCACTGTCACTCAGTAGGTTTGCCCTTTTGATCTAACCCCCCACTCCCCCACTGGCAGCTCCTGTCATGTCATTCTAGCACCTGGTTTGAAGATCAGAAGCAGTGGGAAGAATGAAGGAAGCTGAGACATGATATCTTATGTAACATTCTTAGGTTGCTTTTAGTTAGCGCACCCTCGTCTATCTATCTTTCTCACTGTTGCACTTTCTTTTCCACACCGAGCGCACTTTTGTACAATAATCAGATGACACACGTAATGGCAGCTTTCCACAGACATCACGGGTGGCAACACTGGCAAGATGAAAGATGACATCACCACCAGCTCTTCTTTCTCTCGCATTTATTCTTTCTTTCGTTCTCTCTGTTTCTCTATTCAAAAAGGTTAGACATGTCGAGCTTTGATGAGTGTTGCCACCACTGTAGAAAATGTTCTGTCTTCTTTCACTTCACCATTTCCTTAGCAGTCATCTCCATTTATTTTCCTCTGTGGCATTTTTTCCTCAAATTTCATCATTTATCTTCTTTATTTAATGTCATTGCTCTGTGCTGCTTGTTAATTTGACATATCGCTCTCTTTTTTTTTCTTATCCTTTCATTTTGTGAAAAAAATGATACTTTCAGATCAAGGAATCTGGCCTCAATAAAAATCCATAAAAGACAGGAAATCCTCATAAACAACATAAGCCTAGTTTCAGCTCCTTTGTGCTGCACCATAGATTTTCAGCAATCAGCTCCTTAAGTCTTCTCCATGCCCCATATCAGTCGTAGGTTGCTGTACTTCAAAAAAAAAAAAAATGTAGTCACCCACTGGGCAGATTGTTTTAAACCTTATCTCAAAGAGCTCAGAGTTGTTGATGCAACCATCATATTAATCTGTAGGCAACTGAAAGTCGCACTTGCTTTTCCTGAATGTCACAACTAATAATCCAGCTAATATGGTGAAAATTATTTCTTGAGAAATGTCAAACGTATCCATTGAATTCAAGCTCTATGCACGCCTTGCTATACATTTGTATTGATGCAAATAAACCACCAAGGATGATTTAACATAGTGCTGGTGACATGCTAGCTTCTGAAAACTAAATGAAAGTCGCCAATCAATAATAAAACTGATGGGATTGAATGCTATAAAACACAAGATGAATCA